CTTTTTAAAAAACCACACATATTTACCATCCATAAACGGTAGTTGGAGCCATTCAAGATAACAAAGATGGGATAGGCAACCTCTAAATTTTACATACGGGAATTAAACTATGTCAAGTAGCTATCTAACACATGAAAGCATGCATTAGGAGATGACAATAGAAACAACACGAAGCTGTGTGGATTTGGACAGAATAAGACGAACTTGTGAGGGCAAGCATATATGCATGATGACATGTCCGATGAAGGGAGGTGGTTGGGTAACAAAAAAATTAGGATTCTTGTACCAGTCAAAAAGAATGAGACAGAAAACATTAGAGATAAATAGTGTGTATTTTGAAAGGAGACAAGTATATCAATATATACAAGGGAAAATAATAGTAAATCATAATGAAAAATAATAAATACAAACATAAATATAAATCAAATTATATCAACAAAATATTTAACAATAGTGATGAGCATTCTTGAAAGAATTTACCTATGATCCAAATAGTTTAAACATTCAACACAAGCATAAACATAAGTATAAGCATAAATATAAATGTAAATGCAAAAATATAAATATAAACATAACTCTATTATTATGTTATTCAAAACAAGTATGTGAGAGGAGTTTTGTCTTGACTTGTATAAAAACACTTTTTAAAAATGTTTTTTTAAAGAAACCAAGTATATGATTGATCTTAGGAGATAGTTAACAGCAACACATCAATACGTGTTAGAATTGTGAACAAATAGTACATCACATATAATTTCATCTTACGAAAGATCACAAAATAATTACTACAAACATCACGCATAAAAACATTTGTTAATATATTACTCAATTTATAAAAAAAATAATATATTACTTCAAACTATTCTAGAGTTGTTTTAAAGTTAACCAAGGCTATCCAAAGCTAGTTTAAAGTCCTAAAGCTAGCCTCTATGCTCCAACTGTTACAGTCTGTTTGGCGAAACTAAAAAGAGGCAGAGATTTTAATAATTTCTTGTTTGGATTGTTTAAAAGAGTGGGGAGTGGCGGGAGTGACGGTGAACTAATAATAAATGGACTGTTTTACTATTACAAAATTTAAAGGATTTAGATTTAAAGAATGCTGTGGCTGTTCCTTAGAAAAATGCAAGCTAATCACAAGTATCTTATATGTGGATTTGAATGCCAAAATATGCACAACTTGATGGAGGACTTAATCAATCAATTTAATCAACAAAAATAACTAAATAACTTAAGTTCTCCCACATTTTATGCACCCACAAATTGTATTAAAAATTAATTCTAGTATATTTGAGCTCAAAAATAAGTTTACTAAATTCAAATAATTAGTTTTAATTGTCTAAAATTAATCCAAAAATTTAGACAATTAAATAACATATCAAATTAAAATTTGAAAATTTCCAAAATATCAAGATAGCCAAAAAAAAAAATTTAATTTCCCTTAATTGAAATAATTAAAAGGTGCATGGGAAATAAATAACATATAAATAGATGCCTAAATAAATAAAAAAAAACCCCAATAATCTTTTTAATCAGCCCCAAAAATGTTTTAAAATTAAAACAAAATCTTGTACGCCACTTTTCCTCCCAAAAAAAAAAAGAAAAAAGCGCAAAAATAATGTTGTCAAAACTCAAAATGTCAGGCCCACACATTCAGGACAAGTGAAATTGTATGTTTCACTTGGGCTCAAAACCAGGTTGTGCTGGTGATTTCCACTGGAATGCCAAATGATAAAAAACAAGAATAAGAGTTGGTTCTAGTAGAAGTGTCTAATCTCTATAACATGATAGACCATGGGTCAAATTTTTGCTAAAGAAGGTGCTCATATTTAGTGCCTGATAGTGTCTCGAATAGGATTGCCTCTAATACAAAGATACCTATGTTTAAAAACAATGATAAAGAGCACGTAAATAAGATATTGAAATTCAGCTAAAAAGATATAAATGCTCTTAGGATTTAACAAAAAAAGTCACAACATTCTTCACTAACCGTTTTGTGGCAAAATAATGATGGTGGAATTTGATCCCATCACTCTTGGATGCCCAAAAAGCTAGATGAGCATATTAAACCACTTATATTTCTTAATAAAGTAATGCAAACATAATATATAGGGAAAATGACCAGAAAATGACTGCTGAAATTTGAAATGACAAAATGGGCATATAAATAACCGAAATCACCAAATGGGCCTGAGGTATCAATATGGAATTTTGACAATCCAGTAGAAGACTAAAATGCCCCTAAACTCCCTAAAGACATGGATTGAAAGAAAACATATAATATATCAGAAGAGAGAGAGAGAGTTAAGAAGACGAAGCTAGAGCAAGAGTCAAAATGTGGAAAGAGGAAAAACGTAAGCAATTTTTTTGTTAAAATGCTAGTATCGTACTCATCCAACTATCACTGTTCTGTAAACCTGATTTCTTAACTTGCTTTGATGCTGCATGCTCGAATGGGGATGGGCTTGTGAGTGTAGAGGGTTTAGATGAAGAATTTGACTAGGATGAGAGAGTGATGCATCATAAATGGAAAAATAGTGGCAAACAATAAGCATGAGGTGGTCAGTGTTGTTAAATTCATTAGTGAAATTGTAAAATCCTATATTTAAGTGGTCAATGGAGTAAGCGGGTGTGTGTTTTTTGGGTGTTTCAGAAGGTAAATGAAATTGATTATTGGGGAACTAAAATATTGATTTACGCTTCTTTGCTGCAGGTTAGCAAGCTTTGATGACATCTAACATTGGGTTTAACATTGAGGGGCAATTTTTTGGTGTGAATGGAATAACTTTTGAACCCTCCTTAATTTTTTTTTTGGGAGAATGGTTGATAGTTAGGCTATCCTTTCTGTAAATGATGTTCACTGGGTAGGATATGTTTTGTAATCTGAATGACAAGAAAACATTAAGTGGTGGTTTAATCTTAATGTTAACTTGTCATTTGAATATAAGTTACGTAGCTTTTGTCATAGACGTACTGGTTTTTGGTAAATATTGTCACTTCAGTAGTCAATTCTATTACACATGTAGTAAAGTTTGAGTGTTAATGTAAACATATTATGATGTTCTTCAAGTGTACTTGTATGTTTTTTGTCAACACATTTTACCATTTGTTTAATTCCCCCAAGGGAGATGGTGGAAGTTGCCAATGGGCATGATTGGAGTGGTTAATTTGATTACAAATGTTGTTATTCACATTACAAAAGTTGTTAAATATTGTTTGGGCTCTCTTTTTTTTTAATATTCTACTGTGTTGTCCGTGCATCATTTTTTAGAATATTGATATGCTTGAGTATTGAATTCCAAAATGCACTCTATTTTTCTAATTGAAGCACGAAAATACTATCTGCAATGCCGTAAGGTTCAAAAACGTAATCAGAATCCATTTTTCATAAGGCCCAACGTCGGCCATACAAACCAGATTTTGGGCCTTTAAAAATGAGGATTTTTTTAAAGAAAATGAACTCATAGGATTGTAGAACTTGAAAAGACAAGTTCATAGACACCTAAAACACGTAAAATGGAGCTCGGAGGTGGAAGGTATGGGGGCTTAAAGTCGGCGGGTCACGATGGACCCACCGGAGCACCAATTAGGTTTGGGGTGACCTAACCAGCCCAAAATGATGTTGTTTTGGGTTGGCTAGGACGCAGTGTTTTACTTTAAGTGAAATGCTGGTTTCAGGTTTGTTTGACCCGGAACCTCCATGGAGGACCGACCCAACCCAAAAAAATAATTATTTCTTTCAAAAAAAAATTTTCCCCAGAGACGCACCATGTGGGCCCCTGGGGTCCACCCAGGGCCCCTTAGGTCACAATAAGCACATTTTTAGACTCCTTAAGACATGAGGAATCAAATAGAGTGGGTTTGATGAGGGAGAAAAGCCACCATGGCAACATGTGGACGACACTTGCCGAGTCCGAGAGTAGGTTACCCTCTCCTCCTTTATTTTATTTTTTATTTTTTGGGCAAAGATTCTAGAGACGCGTGAAGGCGTGTGGAGGCTCTTTTTTGGACCCTGTTTGGCCAGAAAAACTTCTAAAATTCTAATCTACAAATTGATATATTATGTGCTTATTTTTAGTGACTTTTTTGTACAAAAAATTGCAAATAAATGCATTTTTCATTTATTTTCTTTCTTTTAACTTAAATTTTTTATTTAGGTTTAGGAAATGGCAACCTCAGATTCTAACCCCTCTTTAGAAAAATATCCAAGTTATTGTCCTCTTTTTTATGCTCCAAAGCCTTCAAATAATTATGCTGAAAAAAGTACTAATAAAAGTAAAATGCCTCAATCACGAGTGAGCTCTAATGTACCTGAGGAGAGCAATGGTAAAAGGAAATGTGTTCTTGACCAACAAGAGGAAAAATTTTGCAGACCTAAGGACATAAATTTAATGGAACAAATAGTACAAAAGTATGCTGATGAATACAAACATAAAAAATGTCTGTTTTCAAAGTTGAGCTATTATGCTAAATAAATTACCAATGAGCAAGATGCATTCTTTTTTGCAAACGTCGTAATCCAATATAGAGAGGAACTGGCAAAGGAGAGGACACATATTTAATGAAATATTTTTCAAACGAAGTCTTTGTAGATTCTGGAAAGATGTTGAAGAGAGTTTAGGAGAGCCAATGATAAAATACATCATGAACGTATGATTTTTTGTTTGTTTTCTTTGATTTCATGTTTACTCTTTAAGATTTTAATTTTTAGGTTATCCAAATTTTTGTAAATATTTATACTTCGTTAGTAAAAAAATTTTTTATTATAAATGCTTTATTTAAGTGGGAGTTTCATGAGAAAAATTCAAATTGGGGATATGTTCAAGGAAAGTAAGAGATAAGAAAGGTGAGAAGCTAATTAGGAGTAATGGGATGGGAGCTAACTTAGTTGTCTCCTGATCATGAAAATGGCAAGACTCTCACCCAGACGATCTATGACCTACTTGAATAACATGTATGTTGCATACCATACTAAAATGCATTGTTGTCTATATGATAGCACGATGTCTCAAAGAGGAATCAAGTCCACCATAATTGACCTCGTAAGAGGTGACAGGCTGAACGGAGACAATTACAGCATGTGGCATCATAAGATATCATATACCCTCGAAGAATATGAAGTCGCTGATGTGTTAACAACTTTTCTTTCAAAGCCCGAGACGAATGCATCACGAAGGGACCAAGACGGCTATACGACTTGGAAAAGAAGGGACACCATCACCATAATTACTATGCTAAGTGCCATGACTGACGATGTGTTGGTGCAGTCAGAAACACACCCTTCTGCCTCTGCCATGTGGGCGGTATTGAAATCTGAATTTGACAGTATCTCTGCTGCAAGGCTTAGGAGACTCACTATCAAACTTGACAATTTCAAGCGAGGTCCTAACACTCCTATAAGGCATCACCTAAGGGCAATACAGAACTTAATTAGGGAGCTTAAGGAAGCCGAAGGTGCCTTATCTGATGAGTAGCAGATTCAAGCTGTCATGAGATTTCTCCCAACCAGTTGGGACACCATGAAGCATACCATTACTCATAATGATAGTATAAAAACCTTTGCTAATGTAGCTCACCACCTCTAACTGGAGGATGACCAAATGGAGACTGTGAAACCTGTCAGTAAGGCATATTTAACTGAAGGAAAGAGAGGGTCAACCTCCCAAAACCAGTCTAAGAGAAACAAAGGCTCTCAAAATAAGAAAGGCGGCCCTAAAGTGAAGAAGGAAAAGGATTTCTTCAAGAAAGGCAAGAAATCTGCAAAGAAGTAGAACATAGCAACCATCAAATGCTATGCTTGCCAACAAAAGGGCCATTATGCCCAGGATTGCCTTGAGCAGAAAAAAATATTGGACTTAGATTCGATACATTTCTCTTATGTTGCTAGCACTACATTTATTGCTGAAACTAATCCTGTTTGGGTTATAGACTCAGGGGCCACAGACCACGTAAGCAAGGATCGCGACAACTTCACAGAATTTTGTCGGTTACCAGCAAGAAGCAGATGGCTTTATGCGGGGAACAACACGAGAGTAGAAGTCAAAGGGATCGGTACTTGTGAGCTAACCCTGCATGGAGGAAAAACACTAGTCTTACAAAATATCCTCTACGCTCCGAAAATCCAGCGAAATCTTGTGTCTGTTTTTCTCTTAGTTAAATTTCATTTCAATGTCTTTTTCCATGGTTTCATAGTAGACATTTTGTATGGGATCAATTTTTCAGTTTTTGGTTATGTTTCGAATGGTTTCTTTGTTTTAGACAATTTCAATGACAATTTTAATTCTAGTTCTTGCTATGCACTTTCTTCCGATGTCAATTACAATATACGGCATGCTAGATTAGGATATATTGGTTAAGAACACATGACCAAACTGGCAAAAGAGGGTTTGCTAGAAAATGTATTAAAAAAAAACGTCTCTATATGAACATTGCCTGGCTGGTAACAGTATAAGAAAACCTTTCGGAAAGGCAACCTGGGCTAACTACCCTCTTAAACACTTTGATATTTGCTGACTAATGAGTGTAAGGGCACATCGCAGAGCATGATATTTTATTAGCTTCATTGATGATTCTTCTCGATATGGCTATACTTATTTGATTTCTCACAAATATGAGGCATTAGAGTGCTTTAGAAAATATCTCTATCTAGTGGAAAATCAACTAGATTCTAGAGTCAAAGTCTTAAGAGCTGACAGAGGTCAAGAATACCTCTTTGATCAGATCAAGGAGCTCTGTGAAGAAAGGGGCATTGTCAGGCAATTAATAATCCTCGGCACTCCTTAACAAAATGGAGTTACTGAAAGGAGAAACATAACTCTTCTCGACATGGTTAGATCAATGATGGCACAAGTTGAGCTTCCAACCTGATATTAGGGAGGCGCTCTTCTAATTACCACATTCATACTTAATTGAGTGCCTTCTAAATCAATCACCATGACCCCTTACCAATCATGGATAAATCGCAAGCTGAATCTAAGCATTCTAAGACCATGCATGCAAGATTCTTTCTATAAGAGATATGTCTTCATCAGTGAAAATGATGACGGCTCAGTGACTGAGATAGAGTCAAGGGATGCAACATTGATAGAAATAGAATTTTCTAGCAGAGGGAGTATTAATCAAACAAGCTGTTTTTATGAGAATGATAGCAATGAGGTACAACAAAGCATTCCTCAATCTACTGATTCAAGTAGGAGGGTTGAACTATTTTCACAACAAGGCCTGACTTAGCCACAGGAAGCAAGTCCTGCAGCAACCCCACTTAGGAGAAGTAATAGAGACAAAACTCCTAGGAGATGCTTCTCAACTGAAGGAGCAACTTTTATCGTTAGTCCAGAAAATGATGAAGAAGACCTTGTAAGTGTTAAAGAAGCACCAATAGGTCCTGCTAAGGAAAAATAGCAAAAGGCCTTGCAAGAGGAAATGAATTCTATGGTCCAACCAAGTATGGGAATTAGTTGATTTACCACCTGGCTGAAAGGCGATTAGGAACAAGTAGGTTCTCAAGTACAAATATAAAGCTAGTTGCCAAAGGGTATACATAACGGGAAGGAGTAGATTACGGAGACACTTTCTCACTTGTTGTACGTTTCAACTCGATATGATTGATACTGGCTCTAGTAGCAAGTTTAGACTTAGAGTTACATCAGATGGATGTAAAAACCGCCTTCCTGAATGGAGAACTATATGAAGAAATCTATATGAAACAGCTGAGAGCTTCATACAGAAAGGGAACGAACAAATGGTTTGTAAACTCTTGAGATCCATTTATGGACCTAAGCAACCATCTAGGTAGTGGTACTTAAGGTTTCACAAAGCTATAAGCTCCTATGACTTCGAAATGATTGAGGAAGATCACTGTATTTATATCAAGCAGTTTGGAGACAACTTTATTATTTTACCCCTCTATATCGATGACATACTCCTAGCTGGTACCAATCTTAAACTAATAAAGATGATCAAAGAGTGGTTATCCTTGAACTTTGAGATGAAAGACATATGTGAAGCAGAATATAACTTAGGCGTTAAGATAAGAAGAGATCATTCTAGAAAATTGCTGTCATTGTCACAAGAGGCATACATAGCAAAGATTCTTAAGTATTTCAATATGAAAGACTGTAAGCCTATAGATACCCCTGTGGTTAAGGGACATAACCTAAGCGAGGAAATGCGTACTATAAAACAATACGATATAGAACGCATGAAGAGAGTCCTATACTCGGCTACTATTGGCAGCTTAATATATGCTATGTTGTGTACCAGGTTGGACATATGCTTCACAGTTGGACTTGTGAGCAGATTCCAATCCGATCCAGGAGTAAAACACTGAGAAGTCATAAAGAGGATAATGAAATGTCTCCAGGGAACCATGGACTATGAGTTCTGCTATCAAGAAAACAGCCTTTGTGCGGAGGGTTATTCTGATGCTAGACGAGCGACACTCAATGTCAGGTTATGTTTTCCTACTAAACAATAGAGCAATCTCCTGGAGCAGTAAGAAACAAACCTGTGTGTCTCTTTCATCCATGGAAGTAGAATACATAGCATGTTCTATAGCTGTCCAAAAAGCTGTATGGCTCGAAAGATTTTTAGTACGATTGGGAATCCATGGTGGTAGTGTGGGACCCACTCTATTTCACTGTGATAGTCAAGCAGCAATAGCCTATGCAAAAGACCCTAAGTACCATAATCGTACTAAGCATATAGACATAAAATATCACTTTGTAAGGGATATGATCACTAAGAAAGAAGTGATAATTCAATACTTGTCTACTTATAAGATGTTGGCAGATCCCCTAACCAAGCCTATAGCTAGAGATCCTTTTGTCAAGCATGTAAAGGCTTTAGGCATGCGTAAAGCATGATGTATTGAACTCTTTTTTTCTTTTTGATCATTTTCTTGTTCAAATGCATAAGCACAAGGCATGTTGTATTGAACTTTCTTTTTCCTTTTACTTAGTAATTAAATGCATTTTATCCAGTTAAAAAGAAATTTCTTGTATATACATTTGTGTATTTATGCATGCATAGGCACGAGGTATGCAACACCAATATGTTGTACAAGTCAGAAGGTTGGCTCACTCACACGGGCAATTGCCTCACTATGTTCTTATGGGACATGGAAGATTTGACAGCAGATGATTACCATGAGATGGTAGAAAAGAATCATTGCACAGGTGTCGCCTCAGCTAGACTGAGATGAGACCCATAAAAGTCTGGACCGAATCATGGATGATGTGTAATCCATGAGATTTGTATCCAGACAAAGAACTCTTTACTTATAAGACGTCATATATAATTGTGATAGAAGAGATCCTAGTTCAAATGTTGAAGTGCATTTGAAACTTAAGTCTGTATGGTGCTACTAAAACCAAAAGCGACATACTCCACTTAGTGGATCGAGCATCGTAGCATGCAATTCATACTGCATGAGCTTACTCAAATCCACAACATGGGATGTAGATGGAAGATCAATGATCCATTACGGTGTGAGTCCCAAAAAGGAAATAAGCCTTTCATAATGCTGTTAAGACTTAGACAGCATCACAAGAGTTTGGTTTTGTGACAGCTACTCTGGCCTAAACCCCAGAGTCAAGAATGATACGATCTAACGGGTCAAGACTGAGAAAGCAACTAAGCCAAATCTAAATGATGAATAGTCAAAAGGAAGATTTATCTTGAAGTACACATCTACATTGGTATCTGTGACTTATCCTTTACAGGTTAAACAGAATAACTAAGTAAGTGTGGATACCATATGTATGGGAAGGCAATCTGAGTAAACAAAATAACTTGAGAGGGGTTAGAAATGTCATAAGTAAAGTATATGGATAAAACTAGAGCATTCGAGGCAACAAGCATACACTTTGCAGGTACACCCAATGGTGGCCTTGTGTGCTGATCTTGTATAAAAAATTCCTAGTGCACAAGCACCAAATCAATGATGTCATGCTCATGTGGTCACGGCAGACGCCTAGTATGAAGCAATGAAAGATGTAGTTATTGCACGATGGACAACCCATTAAGTACGAGTGAGAGATGTTGGATTTTGGGCTTGGATATGTCCTTGATGGGCCAAACTATTTGACTAGATATTAAGAGAATATAATGGTCAAATATCCAAGCAAGATTATGATATGTTTGACTTGGTCAAACATCCTGAATCAAATCCAATCGATTACGATATAAATTTAATTAATTTATATTGTATAGATTAAATATATATTAAGTATATATGTTTAGAATTAATTGTGATTGATTCTGGATTTGAATTCAAATATCATGATATTATGAGATAAAGATGTATTTATATATCCTAACTTAGATTTAATCTAATGGGCTCAATGAATATTTTGGCTTCCCAAAATACCCCTAACAAAAACTATAAATAGAGGCCTTCACCCATCAGTCCAACTCACTTTAGTAGTTGAGCTTTCCTACTATCTCTCTCTCTTATTCTTTCTTGCAAAGAGAT